AGAGAGAGAGAGAGAGAGAGAGAGAGAGAGAGAGAGAGAGAGAGAGAGAGAGAGAGACAAGGGGGACAGTTTTCAAAAACGTGGTTGGGGTCTAGATTCTGATCATTGTTTTGTTTGCAGTTCTATGTATTTTGGCTCTCTGCGATCAGCCCGCGGAATGGTCTAGGGCACCGATCAAAGCACATCCGGGGTGGAGAGAATACTGAAGGACCGGTCAAGCACATGAAATAGGGCATTGTAAAACTCTCGTGCGGCTCAGGGAGTTCTTAGGCGGTGGGTTTTCGATTGTACTATTCTCCGCTGGTTGTGGGGGTACAAACTCTCTCGTCAGGCTTTTACCCATTTACAGGAGGATGGACGGGCATAATTACTAGTAATGCACTGCTTGGCTGAAGTTGTGAAGCGCTCGCTTGACAGCAGGAAAGCAGGGAGCTTCCCTTGGCACCTGGCCTGACAAGCACATCTACGTGCAAGCCAGAGAAGTGCGGCTTTCTTGCATATTGACTTGCTGTGGCCGCACGGGCACATACACGCACGCTCACACTCACACAACAGGCATCCCAGCACGCGCACGTACAGGCACAAGTCATGCACGCACACACACAAAGGACGGACAAACACAGACACATCATAACACAAACTCACAACAAAGCACACACATCGTCAGACACAGAACACGCGCAGACACGCACGGAGATGTTCTTAGCGTTCCCCTTTGTTGAGTAATGAGTGATCGAAGTCATTGAGATAAGTTGCGTGCGAACATTCCAGTCTGAAACGCCTTGCTCGCCTGGACATCCGTTAAAATTGGAACGATACAGAGAAGATTAGCATGGCCCCTGCGCAAGGATGACACGCATAAATCGAGAAATGGTCCAAAAAAAAAAAAAAAAAAAAAAAAGCTTGCTTGACAGGTTTGCGTAAACTGGACGAACAGGAACACAGCTTCCAAAGAAGCACAGACACACCTCCAGCAGTGCTCCTGTTCTTCCAGTTTACGGCAACAGAGGGCAGCTTTTTCTTCTTCTTCTTCAAAAAAAAAAAAAAAAAAGTTTCAATTTCCGCATCACACACCTAATGAGAGAAGAAAGGTGTGTGATGCGGAAATTGAAACTCTGTTGCCGATCAGACTTGTGCTGAAAAGGGCGTTGTTGTGGACTTGATTTTTTTTTTTTGCAAGCCGGTGTCATACAAAAACACGAAGTCAGACACACCTCCAGCAGTGATTGGACGCACATGTGCCATTGGACTTTTTTGAATCTTTTCCCATAGAAGACTAATTAATTCCCGACGATAGTATTTTTGGTCGGTGTATGCAAATGTATGCCTTTTTTTTTTTTTTTTTTTTTTTCCCCCTTGGCGTGCGTCCAATCAAGAACGAGTCACAAAGTCAATCAAATGCTGTTCTCTGCGAATATGGGGTTCCGGTCGTGTCAATTGGTATGCTGGATCCGGTTTCCAGCAAGTGCAGCTCCCCGCCAATAGATTGGAGCCATCACTACAGGAGGAGCCCTCCCTTGGAGAGTGCTCTTATCACCTCCAATGGTCGGCCCTCCAAGGGTGTTCCTTAAAAAAAAAAAAAAAAACTGAACGAGTCACAAAGTGCAACTGTGTGGGAAGGCGTTCATTTTGGTGTGTGCTTGAAGATGCCTCGACCTGTGCCGGATTTGGGTTTTCATAGATCTGTGCGGGGTTTGGTTTTATGTATCCTGCGTACTGTAAATTGATTTTCGTCTTCGGATTCAAGCAGTTAACTTGGATTTCATCGATTTAATCTGGGTGTGGGTCTAATTGTCCTACCTGAATTGCTCTTCGTCTTGGAATCCAAATCCAGCAGCTCCAGACTTCAAGATCACTTGCTGTTTTCCGTTGGCACCACTACCGGTAGCAGCAACCAAGTTGTAGAAGGTTGTAGTGCTGTTACCGCCGCTGCTGCGGGCTGTGTTATTTCTGCTTGTGTGGTCAAGAAGACGGGAAGGTGCTTGAGATTAGAAAGAGAAAAAGTGCACCAACTGAGCCAACGAGCCTAGCTCAGTTGGTACACCCACGAACTCTGTTGAAATACAGACCCAAGTTCGATTCCAGTCACATCAGACGACCAGCTCAATGATAATATCTCAAGGCCGTCGCCCTTTTAGGGGAAACAAAAAGACGAGGGGAGGGAGGAAAGGGGCTTTATGAAAAAGAAAAAGAAAGAGGAAAGTGCCCTTTCTAGTACCTTCCTCGAGTACTTATGCTTCCACTTTCATGAGAAGAGAAGGGGGTCAAGAAAATAATGTTTCTTTTGTCTGTGCATGTCTGTTGTGTGTGGCCATTGGTAGGGGAAGCGGCTGTGCAGGTACATGTTTGGAATTGGTATGCCTGGCTGACTGTGCGATTTCTTGGGTGAGATTCGTAGTGAGCATCATCAGCTGCTGCCACTGCTGGGTCTGTTGCTTGTGCTGCCAAGCGTGAGGAAATGTGTTTAATAGCAGCGAACATATATTGGTGCATGTCTGTGTGTCTGTCTGTGGAGGAGACAAATGCTGCTGCCACTGCTGCGTCTGTTGCTTGTGCTTGTGCTGCCACTGCTGCATCTGTTTGACGAGCTTTGTTTAATAGAAGTGAACGTATATCTGTGCATGTCTCTGTGTGTGTCTGTTGGTGGAGCAGACAAATATTCTTGGAGACAATTTTTGAATAGAAATGCCGGTCCTGTACGACTGGACCTCGGTAACTTTATGATCATGTGGGGAAGATTCGGAGTTTGCTGTTTTTTTTGGCTCAGTTGCACAAGGAATACTGTCGGGCCAGACCACGTTTTGGGAGCTCCAGAGCTAATAAGCTACTGCTGTGCTCCAAAGGCTGAGCTGCTGCTGCAGTGTGTACTACATTCTTGGTGGTTTTAGCAACACCAGATAGTCAGATACTCCAGGGACTGCAGTCATCATCCAGCTGGTGAAAGGAATTTCCTGTGAATACATCAAGTGGAAAAGCAAAAAAGAAACCTGTCCTGCAGTCATCATCAGTCTGCAATCTAGAGCAGAATCTGCAACTGGCTTCGGGTCTGGTCTGCAGAGCCCAGATAAGAATATCATGATGGAGATTCTGCGTAATGGGTGTTTTAACGGTCGGCAGGTTTTGTCAATTGCGTGCAGTGGGAGAGAGTGAACTGTTGTGTGCTCCGGCTGTTGGTACTTGCATGCACGGGGAATGTGTCCAAGTTGTTATCTGATGTGAGTGAGAGAGGAGGAGGAGGAGGAGGAGGGTTCACAATAACGCATCTGATTGCTGGCGTTCTCTTTTGTTTGGTTGAACGTGAGAATGGCAATCGTTACCGGGGATCGATACCTCGATCAACTTGCGGATTTCGTTGATCAACACGGTAATTACACTTGTTGTAATGATGACATCATCATAAATCTGTTCGTGATGATGATCCCGGTCTGGATGGTTCTGTCTTGACTTGGCAGTGCCAGTCGGGTGAGGCTGTAGCCGTTTGGGTGCTTGGAGGGGGAGGCTCTGACGATGGTTTGCGTGTTGCATGTTGAATAGCACCTCACTAGGAGGGAGAAGTTTTTCTTTGTTTTGGAAATGTGAGGTCCGAAAGCAATCTGTTTGTTTTCTTTTGTCCTTCCTTTCTCGCTTTGGTTTGCTTTGCTTTAATCCCCTTGGCAATGGGGAACTGTGAGTAATAACAGTTCCAGTCGTCATAAAGTATGCAGAGGATAGGACCTCATCAGAGGGCGGTCATGTTTGCAAAAAAAAAAAAAACGAAAGGAAAAGAAGATCAGGAGAAAACGACTGATGACGTCATCACTATTCGAACAGAAGGGAGGCAGCGCATGGAGGGAAAACACGAAAAAAAGATCAGGTGAAAACCCGTGACCATCCTCAAGAATGTAATGGAAGAGACACCAACACACATGGTGTAAAAGTTTGAAGGACAGGGAAAACAGAGGAATAGCCCACAAAAAGAGAAGGACAAGCAAACCAGAGAACAGATGGATCGATTCTGGATGATGCTGGATGGTTCTGTCTGAACTCTAAACCTTATCCGAAGGGAAACTATGGAGGTCATGAGCAAAATGACATCATGTGAAAGCCACTGACGTCATCAACAATCTAACAGAGGAGACAACAACATATGGAGTGGAAGAGGGAAGGCCATCAAAAGAAAGGAACAGCTCACAAGAAAGAGCAGGAAGTTCGAACTGGAAAACAGACAGCTTGGTTCTCTAAGTCCTCTCCTTTCTCCCCTTTTCTTCTGCGAGCCCCTGAGGACTCTGCAGTCTATACCCCCCCCCAAAAGCCTCAAACCAGTGGGATAAACTAGACATGATACCAGCCAGATCTTCCACCAAAGTCGTCGATGTTTTGTGATGATTAGAAGCTGTACTTCATAACAATAGGTAGCAGGACTCGATTGCAACGGCGGCAGTGGGAATGACAGCTGTGGAACGTATTGTAATGCCTGTGGGTCCCAGTTCATATCATGCACCTGGCTGTCAGCGTCCACTGTGCCTCCTAACGGACCGCATCTTTGCCCAAGAATCCCAAAGGAAATAGAAATAGAAGAGAAAAGAAATGGAAAACGGGAAATGATAAAGTGTATGTTTGCTGCCTGTCAAGCATACTTGCAGCTAATCCCTCTCAAAGAACATCGGACTGGTAAAGGTCCGAGGAGTGCTTTGTTGTGTCTGGACTCAGCCAACAGCAGCTGCAAAATTGTAGAGCTGCTGTTTGCTGCGTCTACCCTTTATGTCTGCAGTTGGTGTTTGCAAAGCCTCCTGTACGCCACACTGTATTGCATAAACCAACCTGAGAAGAGAGAAAGAAAGAGACTGAGGGATCTTGCTTCCTGTTTTTTGTCATCAACCATCTGGTGCCAGCATAGGCAGCAAGGCTCTTGGACTCTGCAGTGCTGTGGTGACCCTGTGGTGTATCATTGAGGATCTTGTATAGATGCATCTTTGACTCTATCTGACCTTAATGTATGTGTGCCATTGCTTTGATTGGTCACATTTGCGAGCTGCCATGCTGACGTGGAGACGTGAAAGCTCTGTCCTTTCATTGATAATAAGAAAATGCGAACAAAAATAGAAAATCTAAAAGCAAAAGCATCTGAAAGGGAAAGGATTCGAAAGCAAAAGGATCCACAAGCAAAAGGAAGGATAACTGAATTATTCAGTGCATCAATTAGTAAGGACCATACTTGCAGCCGCATGGGCCGCACGACCGTGGGGTGCAGTCCGCTATGCGCTGTGCGGCACCTGCCTGTGCACTGCATGAGCAACAATTTCTTTTCTTTCTTTTTCGGTGCTGTTTTTGTGGATAGAGAAGACTATAGTCACTATACTACCTAAGGAACAGATCATGTTCAAGTACAGTCAGAAAAAATATTCTGTTTGTTCCATTAGGCATGAGGAATAGCCCCAAATAGGTCTTTAGGACAGCAGTCTTGACCGTTAGGTGGTGACATTACTCCTCTAACACTTCTCTTTTTCTTTTTTTCCCATCCTACAACAAATTTTCAGAGGGGGTGCAAGTGACCACTGATCAAAGGCCTTCGACCCTCTCTTCTCCTGGGTGCCGATTTCCCCCGTGCGCCGCATGTCCGGTGCGCTTGCGCGCCGTACGTGTGGAATTGCCCGCACGGTGTGCGCTTGCATGTATGGTAAGGACATAACTTTTGCAAAGGATGACTGAATCATCCAATTCTGCCGTGCATACATTTAGCTCAACAGGGTGGGGTGGGGTAGAGCTTGGGGGGGTCGGGAGGCAGATACAGACAGACAAATATAGACAAACAGCGAGAGATCCCCATTTTTTGCCCTTCCCTCCCTTTCCATTGATTCACAGGGTGGCTCTTTGTGATTGTATATATGTGTCAGTTCTTACCCGTCCCTTCCCTGGAGCTCTGTGAACCCAACCTTCTGCGTCAACCTCCCTGCAGTTGAGTGACCTCAGGCATGCTGCACTAACTTGCCTAATCCCTCCCTCCCTCCCCTACCCCCCTTCTCTCTCTCTCTGTGGCAATTCAATGAGCGCGAGCCTTGGTAGTTTAGTCCCTACAAACTCCTTGTGCTGCAGGAAAGAGGAAAATATTCTGAAAAAACACAAACTTCTGGTTGTTAATCGGTTTGGCGGCTTTGGCCCTGTGGCAATGCAACAAGATGTGTGCTCACGAGGAAAGGACTTAATCGCAGCCATTTTAGAAACTCTGCTGACCCAGCCTCTTCCGAGCCATTGGCTATAAGCGGCCTCCTGGTAGCCAGCAGAAATAATTCCTGCTGGCTGTGGATACTGGTGGCATAACTGTGTGTATTGTGTGCTTGCCTTGCCCAGTTGGCTTTTACGGCTGCAACAATGAGTATTTGAGAGTGTAGCTTGTGCATGTGAAACGTACAGGAGAGGAGCTGCTGGATGGAAGGCTAGTACTGAAATTGAACCCAGTAGGTCTGCTTTACCTCCACTCTCGGCTAGGTGAGCTGAAAGAGCTGGAGGACTTGAAAGGTGAGTTATTCCTGCCGTCAGTTTTTTGACTGTCTGGTCATCTTTGTAAGTGTAACGACTTTAGGGCCTGTACATTCTTTTGTGTGTTAAAAAAAAATCCATTTGTAATTGCTCTCAGCAGAATGCAGGGCGTAAAAAACGGGAAGGCGGTGGGCTTATATAGAAGGATGCAGCAGTACTCCCTCTTTGTATGATTTGCTCCTGAATTCTTGTCACTACTCTTTTACTCAGTACACTGTCCTCGAAAATAAATTCAAACTTCAGAAAGGATCAGAGTCTCAGCCCACTTTTGCCTACAAGAGGTGGACTTTTTTCAATGGCCGAGGAGAGTGCAAGAAACCAATTCATAGAACGGGTTGAAGCAAGAACGATGAATGAGCAACAAAACCGCAAAGAAACTTAAATATGAAATAACAATCAATGTTTATGTTGCAAGGAACCTGCAATCTTAATACATGGGCACTGTGGCCTGAAGGTGTGGAAGGAGGGTGCCAGTACTTGGTCAATCCAGTTCCAGGTCGAATTCCGATAGTTTAGGGTCTAGTAGGCAAACTACGTTGAGTCCAGTCCAGTCCAGCAGCAGCAGGGTCAGCGGCCCAAGGTCTCAGGAAGACCAAAGAATGTCAGGAAACTCAAAGGCTCAGAGGCTCAAGCCAGCAGGCTACTGGGTCTACTGTGTCTACATCTGCAAGGGCGGGGCAGCTGGATGATCAAGTTTGGAATCGCAGCAATAGTTGCCATCAACGTTCACTCCATTTGTGCTTGCTGTGGAAGCACTGTTGCGCTGTAGCGCAACCAGATGACAAGTGGGATAGGAAGTGAGAGTGACAGTAGCTGTAGACGACAGGCACTGGGCTCCGTAACTGCAGTGCATAATTGTCAGGTAAGAGAGAGGACATTCACAGACACACGCACACACACACACACACACACACAGAGACAGAGACGGAGAGAGAGAGAGAGAGAGAGAGAGAGAGAGAGAGAGAGAGAGAGAGAGAGAGAGAGAGAGAGAGAGAGAGAGAGAGAGAGAGAGAGANGAGAGAGAGAGAGAGAGAGAGAGAGAGAGAGAGAGAGAGAGAGAGAGAGAGAGAGAGAGAGAGAGAGAGAGAGAGAGAGAGAGGTCTGACGGTCAAAAGTGACAGTTCATACTTGGTTGTTGCTTGCTGGCTGCCATAGTCCCCCAGCCCGATGTACATCAACTTGTTTGCATAAGACAATGATTTTCGGACAGCTTGAGTTCACATGTCAAGTGTTTTGTTTCTCATCTCGCGTCTGTGGAGGTGTGGTTAACTTTGGTGTGGCATGGGGTGTTAGGTATGAAGCCCGGGCTCATCGTCATACGTCCACTATTGAGTTACCCAACTTCGCACTCTATCCTCCTATCATCACCACTCGGCCCATACCGTCCCTCAGGAAGCTTTGGCTATGTGTACCAGTGTCTGGTTGGCATCTGATGGAGATGCTGTGTTTGCAAGGTAGCTATCAATGTTTATGTGTCACTCGTCAATCACCCGATGTCACACTCTCTCTCCACACCTTTTTGTCTTTCCGTGTTCCTTCCCTTCAGTAGGTGTTTGATTTGCTTTACCCCTCTGAGCTATGATTGAGTCCTGCTCTGATCAATTAAGCATGGGTTACAGAACGGAGGTTGTTTCATCCACTTGCTGGATTGATGGCTGGATGGTGTTACACACCAATAAGGCATCCATATGTAGATAGATGTGTGCATGCCTGTGTGTGTCAGTATGTGTGTGGGATGCTCTCGCTCATGCGCACATATGGATGGTGGCATAAGGTACTGTGTGACATATTTGATGCTTCATGGGGCCAGATAAATCCGTGGCCATTGTTTATGTAAAGTGGACTTGAGGTACTCTTTTCATGGTCTCTGATTTTTCAAGGTGTTCAGGCAAGTACCCGTTCATTTGCCTTGAGATTCTTGCACGTAGTCTCAGAGAGTGCTTGCTGTGGGTGTGATTCCAAGGGGCTTTAAGCAGTAGTGCTCCTGGTGTCGCAAGAGGGTCATGGTACCTACGGGGTTCAACATTCGAGTCTGGTATCATGGGCTGCTTGTGGGCAGCTCAGAAGTCATTTGCTGTGAGTGAAATACTTGTGGGCTGTGTTTTCTGGACCACATGGTGTGAGGTTGTCCACGGTGATTTGGCCAGCAGGGCTTCTGGTGCCGCATGGAAAGTTTCCGTGTTCATCGATTGGCGGCTCAAGGTCATTACTTCTTAGTGGCACTTTAACTGGATGGAAGGTTGGTTTCTTTTTTTTTTTGAACTGGGCCTTCCATTGGCAGGCTCTAAGTATTAACTGTTGGTGGCATTCCCACAGACTGTCTTTGTTTAGGAGCAGACTGAAGGGCAGCCAGGGTACTTCGTAAGTTGTGCTTCTAGTGGCACATGGTAGCTTGTAGGGGGGGCTCCTTGTAGATGAACCATTTCTCTGCCCTCTGTTTAGTCAGCAGTTGATTCTGCCAAGTCAGAAACAGTATAGGGGTTGCAGTTATAATCAAGGACGCAGGCTGCTGCATTGGTGTCAACTTGAGGAGATCTTTATATGCGTGCTTATTATTTTTGCTTGCTTGTGGATGTCGGCGGTATGGTTTGCCATTAGATTGTTTTGTGACATCTACATATTTGTTTTTCTCAAATACAAGTGCGCTGTATGCGGACGGATTGTAGGAACTCTACGCTCAACTACATAGCTGCGGTGGGCATTGAAGTCATGTTTCATGTCTTCTAGGTTTTTGGATGGAATTGGGAATGATATCTTCTATTTGTTCTAAAACACAGGTACCCATGGCTGAACAGGTGTGTGGAGTGGGTTTTATGGCTGTGACGGATTAGTTTCTCAGATGTACTGCCGTTCTTGTCAGGGGTGTGGACCAACAGTCTGCTAGGGTTTCAGGGTTGGTGTGAGTAAAGTCGACCACTTTTCTCAGGGGATATCATTAACTCTAGGCGACGTGGTGAGTCCTTATCCATCAGTCCAATGCATCCTGGGCAGACTGTTGGGAAAAGTTATAGATCCCCCCCGCGACAGAAGGTTTGTACTAGTTTGCCCCCCCGAAATGTTGGAGGCCCCGAAAGGTTTGAGGCTCGGGGGGTATCCGTAACTTTTGTCACCAGTTTTCGGGGGCCTGTGGGACCCTTTTGCGATGGTCTGGTGACAAACGAGTACAAACGTTTTGTCGTGGGGGTGATCTATTACTTTTCCCCAGACTGTCGGGGTTCAACCTCCTGATGAATGAGTAAAGTCTGACGAAACAGTCTGGCACAGGCATGCTTTTTTTTGCGGGGTTCTGTGTAGGGAACATGACAACACACACACACACGGGGGAGAGCGAGCGAGCGAGCGAGCGAGAGAGAGAGAGAGAGAGAGAGAGAGAGAGAGAGAGAGAGAGAGAGAGAGAGAGAGAGCCCGAGAGAGAGAGAGAGAGAGAGAGAGAGAGAGAGAGAGAGAGAGAGAGAGAGAGAGAGAGAGAGAGAGAGAGAGAGAGAGAGAGAGAGAGAGAGAGAGAGAGCATTTTTCGATTTATTCACTTTTGAATATCTTGCAATCAGACTCACTTTCTTCTCACTTCGCATGCATGTAAACAGATGGCAAATCACCCTGGCGCCAGGCGCCCACACAAAGCTCAGAGATATAACAGGCGAGAACACAGTTCAGATACAAAGTCGCTTCAAGTAACTATGGCACCTGTGCGCCCTTACATCAACCCCCACGACACTGTATCGTCACAACTTGTTCACACACACACTTCAGTGGATCTCCCTGGATGTCCCACGCGCACACACTCTCACTGCACATTCGTACACACACACACATTGAAGACTATTCTAACCTAGCGCAGCTATGGCTGCCCGCTAACCATATCACTACTAGCAGCTATGGCTGCTCTGTCTCCCTCGCAGCCCACTTCGGCTTCGGGCATCTGCAGACCACCTTGCACAAGACGAACTGGCAGCGCTTCCGCTTGGTTCGCAGCAGAATGAATGAATGGCTGGACGCTGCCTCTTGATTTATACTTCTGTTGGTTGCCCCCTTTCCACCGGACCCTTGGTGCACACAGTCCCACGTGGTACTTGCTGACTGGACTAAGTGAGACTGGGACTGGGTACCGCTGACTAAGCAAGGTTGGACTCACCACTTGTCCACTTGCCTCTTGTCTGCTGTGAACAACGTTCGAAAGGCCACTTCCGGACCTTCTGGAAGCCTGCGGACTTGGCCTTTCGGAACTGTAGCAGCTACGACCTTGACCTTTCAGGACTGTAGCAGGCTACGACCTTGACCTTTCAGAATTACTACAGCTACGGCCTCTACACAACTAGGACCTCTACTCGACAGACCTACGGTTCAAGACCCAACTGCTACATCGACCTACGACAGACAACAACTGACACCTAAAACGCAGGTCACGGGTTCAAACACACAGGGATACTGTACACGGTGAGGTCAGGTCTAGGGATCGAGCCCTGGGATCTGCATCTGCTACTGCAAAGGTGAAAACCGTTTCACTCCCGCCGGCCTAAATCCAAGGTCCTCCGAGAATACTAGTCCAAGGTAGGACCTTTCCATTTCTTATCTCTCTCATAGGCTCGGACTATGTCGGGAGCTGTCTCTAGAAGCTCTGTTCGAGTAAACCAGCGGTTGTCCTCCTGTTCTTGATAGGCAAATCTAACCTTGTACTGTTTCTGTGGACGACCTCTACCTCCTATTCTGAACACATCTTCATCTACTATGCGGTCAATGTCGTACCTTCCATCCATGTCCGGTGGGATCATGGACCTTCGTGATGGGAACTGTTGGCTTGTGGTACAGGGCAACAACTTTGACGCATGAAAAACTGGGTGGGTGTGGAGGTGTGCTGGAATCTCGACTGTGTAGGACGGTCCATCCTCTCCTCCCTTTACTTCTAAGACTGGCCACGGTCCTCGGTATGCAGGCAACAACTTCTGTGAGATGTTTTCCTCAGGAGCGAAGTCTTTTGACTT